AATTTTTAATTTTAAAATTAAACTTAAAATGAAGTTTAAAGTTATACGCCTTAAAATTAAAATTCAAGAAGGTTTAAGATAAAGTGTTTAAAAATAATTTTCATTAAGTACAATAATTAAAATTATTTTGACTATTTAGTTAATTTAAATATTGAAAAAAATAAAAACTATTTCATATTTTTTGGTATCATGGGCACGTTCTCCCATCCTAGGCATAATTTATCAGGGCGGTTAAGGTTCAACCCGTTAACCAACACGGGCCGTTCCTATAACAAGAATAGGTCGACTTGAACTGATCCGTCCATTTTGACACCACTATTTATATGTTTGTAGAATTGAATTCTAGAGAAAGCATTAATATCAACCTCAAAAATAACTAAACATTATCAAGACTCTGTATTCTTTTGGTTCTTCTAAAACTTTGAGGTCCAAATATTGGGATCTTTTATTTTTAAACATGAAAAATCTAAATGGTTTATAGGATTTGTTTATCAAGTTTACAAAACGAGTGGAAGTAGATTGTTCATAGTAATTTGTTGAAGAAGAAATAAGCTCAATGGCTTAAACATAAATTTGCTTTTGGCTTAACTATGCTCGTTTCCTTGCCAGCCTGCGTATTTATAGCGATGTCTTCTCCTCTCCTTTTGCAACAAAAGGAGAAGAAAATAATTGTATTGTCATCCTCTGGACATTACAAAGCCTTCGTATTCCTTCGTCGTATTCTTCTTTTCGTTTTACTTCGTCGCATTGTCAGTTACTATACAAATTTATTTTTTACAATTACATAGCTTTCGTCTTCTCTTGATATTTTGATTGACTTCTACGTCTTTTATTAGGAATCTTTACCTATCAATTGAAAGACTTTCTCTCCCTTGTATCTTTGTGGAACGGAAGTCCAGAGACGGCGTAAACATCAACCACAAAATAAGTGTAAAATTCTAGCTAGATAAGACATCTCTTTTTATTTCTTTAATTCTTCTGTTTTTATTCAGAAAAATAGACCATATCTTGACTATGCTCTTTCGCCAGGGTGCATATTTGTCCTGTCATCTTGTTTCAAGTCTCCAATTTATGCTATAAAAGAAAAATGGGAGAATGTAAAATCACCTTGAGCAAAACAGGCATGGAAACATCCAAACTACCCTTAGTTTTCCTTCTTCATATTCTTCTTTTCTCTCTACTTCGACTGAACATCGAGTCATCTCCAGAAGCAATTGCTCTTATAAGGTGGAAGGAAACCTTATCATCTCACGATTTTCTCGATTCATGGAACCTTTATAATCATAGGAATGTCTGTAGATGGAAGGGAATTGTCTGCAACACTAAGGGGTCGATTTCTGAGATAGCAGTATATGATGGAAACCTCGGTGGCACACTAGACCATCTCAATTTTTCTTCGTTTCCAAATCTTCAAATGCTTCAACTTAACAATAATAATTTCAGCGGGTTGGTACCATCCACTATAAGCGGTCTCTCCAAACTCATTTACTTGGACTTGAGCCACAACTTCTTGGAAGGCATCATTCCTATGGAGATCGGAAATTTGACAGAGCTTCAACATATTTATCTGGCAAGCAACTTCTTCTTCGGTTCCATCCCTGATATTTTCAATTTGATGCCCAATCTACAAATCCTTGATTTGTCTAACAATTCATTTCAAGGAAAGATCCCGCCTTCTTTAGGCCAACTCAGGAATCTTCGGCAGCTAAATCTCAGTATCAATGACTTGAATTCTACAATTCCTTCAGAGATTGGTCTATGCACAAATCTTAATGACTTGAATTTAGATAGTAATTCACTTTTTGGAACCCTACCTTTGTCATTGACCAATCTGACAAATCTCAAGGTTCTTTTTCTGTACAACAATACATTTTCAGGCTCCATTCCACCAGAGATAGGAAGCTTGCGGAATTTGGTGAGCCTACACCTTTCAGTCAACTTATTGTCAGGTATGATACCTCCAACAATCAGGAATCTGACAAAGCTTAACTTACTTAGCCTTTGCTGCAACAATCTTACTGGAACAATTCCACCTGAGGTTGGGGATTTGAAATCACTTAAATCCCTCAATCTCGGTAGAAACCTATTGAGTGGGCAATTGCCTAAAACCATCTCTAACGTTAGTATGTTGGAACGTCTTTCTGCCAGAGAGAATGATTTTTCGGGCAGCATTCCGTCATTCATTTGCAATTGTAGTTTCCTTCAATATCTTGATTTGGGTTATAATCTTTTCGAAGGAATAATTCCACAATGTTCAGGAGACTCCAACGGAGCAAAGCGTGACTTTAGTATGATTTCTCTGAGCCATAATGATTTTTCAGGCAAAATTCCCTCGTTCATTTGCAATATTAGCTCCTTTTCATATTTTGATCTGGCATACAATAATTTTGGAGGAACAATTCCACAATGCTTAGAAAACTTGATCAACAAAGGATTGCAGGGTTTGAATTTGCAAAAGAATCAGTTTCATGGCACCATTCCTGGAATATTTACCAAGGGATGTAAACTTTGGTATTTGGATTTGAATAGCAATCTGTTGAATGGAACATTGCCCCACACCTTGGTCAACTGTAAGTTGTTGAAAGTACTAGATATTGGAAAGAACGAGATAAGTGGCTCATTCCCCTTCTGGATGGAAATTCTTCCAGAACTTCGAGTTCTTGTAATGAAGTCCAACAGATTACAAGGTATTATATGTGCATCAAAGGCAAAACGTCCTTTTTCCAAGTTGCGAATTCTTGACATCTCCCATAATGAGTTCACGGGACTTCTACCAACTGAATATTTAGTGCATATGAAAGCCATGATGAACGTGAGTGAAAATGAAATTGAAAGAAAATGTCCATATTATGCACTTCGTTTGACACTTGTGTTGAAAGGGTTTGAATATGAGTCATCAGGTATTCGAAAAACTTATACAAGCATCGACCTATCCAACAACAAATTTCAAGGAGAGATTCCAAGTTCTATCAGACTGTTTAAGTTCTTACAGTCTCTAAACTTATCTTATAACAGTTTGACGGGTCCTATCCCCTCGTCGATTGGAAATTTGACTTCACTGGAATCATTGGACCTCTGCACAAACCAATTGGTAGGAGAGATTCCTTGGCAGCTGATGAGGTTGACATTCCTGTCAGTCTTTAACGTTTCGTACAATCATCTTGTTGGGTCAATACCTGTGCAAGGGCAGCTTCTCACGTTTGACAACAGTTCATATATTGGCAACTCAGAATTATGTGGACTACCATTGACGAAGAAATGTACAAGTGACGAAAAGGTGCAGCCAAAGCTTCCAATGTTGCCACAAGATGACGATTTCAGTATTTTGGATGGACTCACCTGGCAAGTCGTCCTCATGGGTTATGGATGTGGAATGCTATTCGGTCTAGTTGCAGGTCATTTGATCTTTAAATATGAAAAGCCTAGATGGATTGTGGAATTTGTTTATGGAGTTCTATATGAAATAAGGGGAACCACAAGACGTAAGAAGATTGTTCCATATAACAGGGTGAAGAAATAAGGCGATTTTGGAATTTTTCTTGCTAGTCTACTATCATATATCCATACTATTTATCTTATGATTTTCAATAAAACATTATGTGAATAAATATTTTATTGAGTGGTGGTCTTGTCCGTTTTAGAATTTAATTTTGCATTGATTTTATTGCTTCTATTTATCTTATTCTCCACTTGATAAAACAATTTAAATGAGATCCACTGGATTTTTTAAATAATTGATTTTTTTATAAAATAGCGCGACTAGACTTCCCTCACCAAAATGGCACAATCAACCAACCTTCTAAGACCATCACATGGCCCAATTGGAAGACAAGAGTGTAGGTGGGGATGATTGTACTACAACTTCGATAAGATCCTCCTTATGACCGACAGAAAACAACTTCCGACACCCTCTTTTACACCCTCAAAATTTCGTTTGTGCTTTGGCCAATCATCAATGGGAGTCCAAGATATTTGCTAAACTCATATTGTTTTATTCTTTTAAATATAATTTAACTCTATACACATAAAGTAACTAAGAGTTGGGATGAGGATAATATTTCCCGTCCCGTCCTGTCCCGTCCTCGATTCCAGCACGACGAGGACCAATCGTAACATTTTACCATCCTAGAGCACGTTGGGTGCAACAGCAAGAATACTAAGGGTAATATAGGAATTTTCTATCTTGAACTACATTGTATTCCCGATAGGATAAGCAATTGGTCGAAACTCACATCCACAAGATTTCGTAACGGATTTTTGTTTTCTGAGGACGAAAAATTCCGTTTCAAACCCCTTTTTTTTTTCACAAAATCAACTCCAATTTTCCAGCGATTAATTGGCCTGAAAATCTGAGATTCTGCACTAGAATTTTCAATCAAATGGCAACGGCAACAAGTGCCAGTAGTTACATTGGAAACTTAGAGCACCGTAACAGTTTCTTCTCATCAATGCAGCGATTCCGCCGCCTGTTTCCGGCCAATTATTCCCCTCGATTCATAGCCATGGCACCCAAAAAGAAGGTATGTGCAAACACTGTTTGCATTTAGTTGCTATCATTTTAGAAATTTGGATAAAACGGTGTATAAATTTAGTGTTCAGATAGATGGATTAATTTTTGGTCAATGCCTACAATTTTTGATAGATAGTTAGAAATTAGGTCTTTTGCTCGACTCTAAAAATTGTGTACGGGTTAATTTTTTGATAGAAAATGTAAATTTGACTTGAATGTGAGTGAGCATGGGGATGGTTGAATTAAAATAAATAAATGTATACCTTCTCTTACAATTTGATAACTTTTCAGGTGAATAAATACGATACTGATTGGGCAAAACAATGGTACGGTGCTGGAATATTCTATGAAGGCAGCGAAGTACAAGGAATCGACGTGTTCAAGAAACTCGAGAAACGAAAAGTCCTAAGCAATGTGGAAAAGGCCGGCCTATTATCCAAGGCAGAGGAATTGGGATTCACATTGTCATCGATTGAGAAGCTAGGGGTCTTGTCAAAGGCTGAGGAGCTCGGGTTGCTCAGTTTATTGGAAAGGGCCGCCAGTTTTTCACCCTCTGCCCTGGCCTCGGCTGCACTACCTATACTGGTGGCAGCAGTGGTGGTGGTCGTGGTGATCCCTGATGACTCCGCGGGGCTGGTGGCAGCTCAGGCAGTGATTGGTGCGTTGCTTGCGATTGGAGGTGTTGGTTTATTTGTAGGATCACTTGTTTTAGATGGGTTGCAAGAGACTGATTAAAGGTTGGAATGTTAGCAATTTGTGGTCTTATTGTAATGTTAGAACTCAACTTTTCTTCTCCCCATTATTTCATCTTGATAAGAAAAATGCATTGGGTTGAATTATTTGGAAATCTTCTTTAGGCCTTAAGTTTATAAAACTCATGGTTAAAAAAGTAGGAAAAACGTTATTGGAAAATGTGAAAAATGATTTTTGAATTTGGGACGACAAGAGAATCAATTGATCACTTGCAATTGTTTCTTGTTAATTTGTTCATCTTCGCCATGGATAATTCTCAACATCTTGTGTTCATTCCTTGGCCGTTAGCGAAGCTCATCATTGATCATGAATCTGGGATCTCAGCCACCGTCCTCCTTATGCAGCTGCCGGCATATAAAGACGGTGAGTAGCTCCTTTCTCGACTCTCTCCTGGCAGCACCAGCACCATCCCTCATGTCTAATTCTTTGAGCTCCCGCCGGCAAATGCTGCCCTGGAATGAAGCGCCAAAACTCAAGGCTATTTCGTCCATAACCTTGTACAGAGCCAGAGATCAAACGTAGAAGATTTCATTTAAGTCTCATGAGCGAAGAATTGTTGGGTTTGTAGTTGACATGCCCTGGTATGATTGATGTTGCAGAGAAATTTCAGCTCCCTAGCTATATGTTTTTTGCATATTCGGGTTTTCTCAGTTCAATGATTCATTTTCAGACCCTTCAGGATGAGCACATGCAAGATATGACTGAATTCAAAAACTCGAATTCACTCATGCTGATCCGGAGTTTTGAAAATTCGGTGCTGGCCAATGTATTGTTTGATGTATTGGTGGACAAAGATTTATGGTTAGGCTGGTTCTTGGACTATGCACGAGGCTTAAAAAGGCCAGAACCATAATCATCAATACATTTGAAGAGCTAGAAGCTTATGCACTCAGCTCCTTCTCACTCTCAGCATCCTTTGGTAGATCAACAGTTCCTCTGGTTTACTTGGTCGGTTCAATTCTAAACAGAACCTCTCATCCTAGGGATACAGATAACTGTTTAAAGAAATGGCTCGATGAACAGACTGCAGGCTCGGTGGTGTTCCTCTGTTTTGAGAGCCAGGGCGTCTTAAGTGTGGACGAAGTTGAAGAGTTGGCTCATGGACTTGTGCGCAGTGGCTGTCATTTCATTTTAGCCAGCTATCAGCAAAGAACAAGAATGCAGAGTCCCCGAGTGAAGAACTTTGAGTATTGAGAGATGCTCTTGTTATTCCTAATAAGATGGCTCAGTAACAGACCACTTCTTCCAAAGCGCACCGTATTATCACCCTGCTTGTTATTCCCGGTCCTGCCCAATGAGAAACATAATTGCGTGGAACAAAAGGGGGGGCACTAGGAAGAGCAAGTTTTGCCCGAAGGGTTTCTAGGGCGGACAGTCGGGATCGAGAAGGTGGTGGGTTGATTGGGTGCCGCAGGTGCTACTGCTATCCCATCCTGCGGTAGGTGGGTTCGTATTGCACTGTGGATGGAACTCAATTTTGGAGAGTATATGGTGTGGGTGCCCATAGGGACTTGGCCATTGCATGCAGAACAAAAGATTAATGCGTTTCAACTTGTGAAGGAATTGGGATTGGGGGTTGAAATTTGTTGGCATGATGAGCCTATTGTTAAGGATATTGATGGAGAGTGAGAGTGAGAGCGAAGCAAGAAAGAAGGTAAAAGAGATGAACGAGAAGAGTAGGATGAGCATGGAGGAAGATGGATCTTCACTTGGACTCGTCCACCGCATTATGACCAACGAGACTGACATATCAACTGGAAGCAAAAGCTTATGACATCGATACCAAAGGAGTCAAGATGAGCCGTCACTTAGAACAATTAAGTCAAGACAACATATCAAGTTACGTGAGGAAGGAGTGTTAGTTTTTATTTTTGAATGAAACTCTTTCTGTTATCTTGATAGATTGATGATGATGTAGTGGTTGATTGGTTTGTCTTTTGTGATCTTTTTTATTTGATGACAATGTTTGAGGTTTGGTATTAAGCTTTTCAAATTGAATGATATCATATGGTGATTGATTGGTATTCTTAATTTGATCATAAGACAGTATTGATTAATTAATCACCTATGTCATGTAGAATTAATTGTTTGGTTAAAAAATAATAATAATAATAAATCAATTTTCCCAAAAGGTCGATTTTTATTGAACAAAAAGGCCCCATAAAATCTATTTCTTACTGGGCCTGGCTTTCTAGTCCATTAGGAAGAAGAAAAAACGGCAATCAAAATGGAGATGCCCCCGTACCTCTCGCATGCTAAGCGAGCGCTCTACCATCTGAGCTACATCCCCTTACGTAAGTGAGATTGGGAAAATAGTAGTACTCTGTCTGATTTTGTATTGTTCAGCAACTAAATGTTGAACGGCGCTACGCTAGTCCCACTCCATCTCTGTTAGTTGAAGTCCAAGCTTTCGAGCAAAACGAAACCCCTCCCGGAGACTGAAAAATTCGGCATCAACCAAAAAAAGAAAAAATCCCACATGCGAACACAACACACTCCTCCTCGATGCATCTAAGTTTGATGCCCCTGGTTGCAGTGGGACCATTTCTTCATGGCCACTTGTCACATGGCTGCCTTGTAACTCCACTTGCTGTCTCTCACCCCACTCCCCAACCCCCTCATACTCTCTACGAGGCAATCGGCCCCGTGTGGACACTTGTCAAGCAACTAATTTCTATCTTTTGAAACAAAGTATGGCCCTGTTTGTTTCAAATTAAAATCAGAATTTAATCTAATTCAAACTCAAACAATCAATATTAATCACATCTTTCATGAGTCCACAACTTTTCAATCATACATTTCAAAAACTTATATCACAATTTAAACAACAAACCTGATCCTTGAAACCTTCATCTTCCATCTTGGACCATGGCTTGTTTCATTTAAAATATTCCATTTATCAAAATAAAAACCCACGTAATAGTGAAGGCAATAAAATAATTAAACAATACATAATTCAATCACTTAAATATGAAAACTTTAGTCTAAATGTCTTTATCAATTAACAGAGGCTTTATGGGCAATAAATTGTTTCCTTCAAGT